ACGCGTAGATTGGAATTCTCCCAGCTGTAATCGTTCTGTTTCAGACTTTTCACTCACTCTTCTTCCCATTCTTCCGATTCTCCATTCCAAATAAATAAATTGATTCAATGTGCTCCTGAACCATTTACCGTAAAAATAAGGATTCATGTCGTTTCTAAGCGGTAAACATGGTTCTAAATATTCGTCGATACGTCGACATTTTTATCGACATATTCATGTTTTTATGAGCTCGATATTGACATGAAGGAGTAAATCGACATTTTCATCGTAGTACAAAAAAATCAACAAAATATAAAAAATATATAAAAAAATGTCATTATATACATAATATTAATATTAATTATTTTTAACCAATTTAGAAATAGGAAAATATTTATTTTATTAATTCAAATATTTTTTACAACTTTTTAATACTTCTAACTTTTATAAAAATATCCATCGATATCGATATTTTATCGACACCTCGACATTTCCATCGACGTCGACATTTAAAAAATTTGTTGTAAATGAGGTAGCCAAAACTAGTTCAGTTATAATTGACATATATCTCCAACCAAGAGATTGTAGGTTCAAATCTCCAACTCGATCACATGTTGTTCTAAAAAAAAAAGAGTACGAGCTCAGTTAGTGGGCCTTAAGCGGTTACGAAATATTGGATTTGAGGTAGGAGTTATTGATGTGGGGCTTAAAAAATGACTGCCTAATAGTTTTCTTTTTGTTTTAGGGGATGATAGAAAAGAGACGAAAATAATCAATAGGGTTTTATTGAAAATGTAATTCAAATATAAATCAAATAATAATTTAAATAATATTATCCAATAATATAATCTAACATTACCGATACTATTTACGCTTGTCATTCATTTCAAACTCTCTTCTACTACTACTTCGTTTATGACTTAGCAAAAACATGGATTTTCATCGTTTGTTTTACTGGTAAATTTGTTACGAGCATATTTGAATCAATTTTGAAGATCAAAGATGAAAACGAAATTTTTTAAAACTCTTAGAGTATAATCGAAATAACCTCAAAGTTTAGCACATTTTGAATGGTTTATCCAAATAAATAAGATCTAATTTTATTTTTTAAATTGAACTTATAAAAATTACCTTGTACTTCAATTTTGTCCATTTAATTTTTTTATTTTCCTAAAAATAATTTTTAATTAAATATTAAGAATAAAAATAGAGTTTTGAAAACTACTTTTCCTTTTTGCAAAATTTGCTCGTCCACTCCATTGTAATCTTTTTTGGAGGTAACTTTACACTTTGCTTAGTTGTGATATTTAAAAGAAAAAAGACTATAGTTTTAAAAATATATATTTTAAATTAGATCTAAAAAAATAAAAATTAGTAAATGAGGATGTTATAGGTATATATATATATATTTTAAGTACAATAAGTGGCGTGGGAGATTCCACCTCATGATATTTTAGTCAGAAACAAGTGTCAATTACAGTTGATCAAAGCTCATGTTGGCTAAACGAGCATGATTTTTAAAAACGTAAAAAAAAAATACTAAAACAGACCAATAAAGAAATGTGCTTTTAGTAAAACATGTTACCAATATGGACCTAATTAATTAAGGAATTTTTTTAGTACAATTATGTAGAGGTGGAGATTCGAATCTAAGACATTTTAGTCGATAATATATACATCAATCATTTGAGTTCTGCTTTGACCCTCGAGGAACATTCAAGTTCATAGATTTGGAAATTTTATGTTGATATAAATTACAATTCAACTTGACTAAACCTGAATATAATTTAATTGATCAAGGCATAAAATAACCTTTTGCGAGCTCGAGGTTCAAATTTCCACCTAATCCATTATTGATGAACTATTATCAATATTTTCATCCTATTTTGTTGACATTTGATTTTTTTAGTACACCCACGAGTTAAAATTATCATGGGAGATTGTAATTTTTATCTATGTCTTTGAAATAATATTTATTCTTTTAAAAAAGAAGAAAATAAAAGAAAATTTTGGATGGAAATTAAAAGAAAAAATTGGATGACAGGTAAGTCAATGGTTCCCTCCTCACCTCACAAATGGTTAAAAGATGATTTTAAACAGTATTTTTAATGGTATTTTCCTATTTCTTATTATTTAAAACAACTTTCTTTTATTTCTAGAAATAATTTTATGATTGTGATGAGATGACTTAAATGTATATTAAAAAAAAATTATTCAGAAGTCTATAATTTTAAAAAGATGAACAATTTTATTTATTTTGAAAAATGAGTCCTACGTACCTCAAAAAGGAAAAAGGAAACGGAGAGCCATACATTACTTGGAATAAATGTTTTCTCTAAAAATAGTTAAACAAAAATTTAATGGATTTTTGTTCTAAATGTTAAATTATAGTTTCACTTTAGTTTAAATTATAAAATTTTGACACTATATTTCTGTAATTTAAAATTTATTTTCTATACACATTAATTAATTTATTAATTTCAATGTTCATGTCTTGTATGAGTATTACAATATTGTCCCACAAGAGGTTACATCAATCTACATAAACTTTAAAATTATTTTATTTTCAAAAGAGGTTTTGATTACTCGTAAAACTTTTGAATTATGATTTTACGTAGAGTTGATGTTATTAACGTCGACTTACACAAAAAAAATTAAAATAAAAATTCTTTTAACAACAATGATATGATATTGTCTGTTTTGGACATAAATCATCGTGATTTTGTTTTTTTGGTATCAACCATAAAGGTTTTATACTTAAGATGTTGTCCCTCACTTTTATATTTATGACCTTTCACTTATTCAATCAAAAGTGTGACTTTGGTCGCATCCTTAGCAACACTGTCTTTTTAGTTTGAACGCTTTATTTTACCTTTTTTTTAAGTAATCATGTCAAGTATTTCTTAAAAGGACTTTAGACGATTCGGTTATTTTTAAATATCTTTTATTTATTACCAAATATGGTAGATTTTTTTAAACTCACTTTTATTCATCTGAAACTCATTATTTTTGGCTTTCTATGTTTTAAAAGTAAGCCTACAAACACCCATTCCACCTATATATTTCTATATTTTGTTATCTACATTTTTTAATAGTTTAAATGATTTATAAAAATTGAGTTAAAAATTCAAGAAATAAAAATAAAAAGACTATAAACGGTCCTTTTATTTAAATAACAACAATAATAATAAGAAGAAAAAAAGCCACGGGTATTTATTTTTATTTTACTTTTCGGAGAACGTTATTTTTACGTTTTTGTCCCTCTCGGCCTACCGAAACGGAAGTTTCAAACGTGTAAAGACTTGACAGCTCCACCGGAACTTGCAACTGCAATTCGCTTGCCAGTGGTATGGGGTGTACTTGATTGTCTTTTTTAAATTGTTTGAGGGCATTTTCTGGACATCAATTGCGTATATAAACCCAGCTCCATTCTTCCACCATTTCCCACGAGGCGTCTCCCATTCTGAATCTGAGTCAAGTTTCAGAAATCTCTCTCTCAGGTAATTCTTCTTTCAATCTCCCATTTCCATTCCTCAACAATTGCATCGTCTTCTTCTTCCTTCTCATTCGTTGTGTTTTTTTTCGGATTTGGTTTCGCGTTTTTGTGCTGTAACAATTGGATCTGTGTTTTCAATTGCGTGTTTTGGTTCTTGATCTATAATTAGTTGCAGTATGAGCAAGAATCGAACCAGATCTGGCTTAATTCTGTGGATTTTATTCGAATTATTTCTCGATTCGTGCTGGTTGTCTTCTGATCTTGGATTTTCGAGCCGTTGTTTTGTGGATTGCTGTCGATCTGATGGTCTTAATTGGAATCACAAACGAACGTTAGTTGAGCTATGCTGATTTGCTTCGCTTATGGTTATTTGATTCTATTCCCAAGACATTCGTGATCGTTCAGGGTGATTCGGAATGTTTGTTTAGATTATGACCATAAAATAGGGGTAGAATTTGCAAGCCATGTCGTGTTATTTTTGTTCATAATTTGGAAATTCACTTTTGTGATTTGTTGTTTTCCATATGGTATACGATGAATTTAGGTGGAAGGCTTTGTGACTTTTTCTTAGTTTTAGTTTTCACTTCCCTTATATTGCAACCGCTATTTGTCCAGGTTGTAAATTGAAAAGGCAAAAATGGTGAAGATCTGTTGCATTGGTGCCGGATATGTTGGAGGGCCTACAATGGCGGTTATTGCACTGAAGTGCCCATCAATTGAAGTGGCTGTTGTGGATATCTCTGTGGCTCGGATCACTGCCTGGAACAGTGACCAGCTCCCGATCTACGAGCCAGGTCTTGATGGCGTCGTTAAGGAGTGCCGAGGCAGGAACCTCTTCTTCAGCACTGATGTGGAGAAACATGTCTTTGAGGCTGATATTGTTTTTGTCTCAGTCAACACTCCCACAAAAACTAGGGGTCTTGGTGCTGGTAAAGCTGCAGATCTAACATACTGGGAGAGCGCTGCTCGTATGATTGCCGATGTATCGAAATCTGACAAGATTGTAGTTGAGAAATCAACTGTCCCGGTTAAAACTGCCGAAGCAATTGAAAAGATCCTTACCCATAACAGCAAAGGAATAAAATTCCAAATTCTCTCAAACCCTGAATTCCTTGCTGAGGGGACTGCTATTAAGGATCTCTTTAACCCAGACCGTGTCCTCATTGGAGGGAGGGAGACCCCGGAAGGTCAGAAGGCCATCGCTGCGCTGAAGGCTGTTTACGCTCATTGGGTACCTGAAGACCGGATTCTCACTACCAATCTTTGGTCTGCTGAGCTCTCCAAGCTTGCTGCCAATGCTTTCTTGGCTCAGAGAATCTCATCCGTTAATGCCATTTCAGCTCTCTGTGAAGCCACTGGTGCAAATGTTTCACAGGTAGCCTATTCTGTCGGAACGGATTCGAGAATTGGACCCAAGTTCCTCAATGCCAGTGTTGGTTTTGGTGGATCTTGCTTCCAGAAGGACATCTTAAATCTGGTGTACATCTGCGAGTGCAATGGCCTTCCAGAGGTAGCAGAGTACTGGAAACAGGTGATCAAGATCAATGATTACCAGAAGAACCGTTTCGTTAACAGGGTCGTCGCCTCTATGTTCAACACGGTTTCAAACAAGAAGATTGCCATCCTGGGTTTCGCATTCAAGAAAGACACCGGTGACACGAGGGAGACCCCCGCCATCGATGTGTGCAAGGGACTCTTGGGAGACAAGGCACGGTTGAGCATCTACGATCCTCAGGTCACCGAGGATCAGATCCAGAGGGACCTCACACTCAGCAAGTTCGAATGGGACCATCCTACTCATCTGCAGCCAATGAGCCCCACAACTGTTAAGCAAGTGAGCGTCGTCTGGGACGCCTACGAAGCAACAAAGGAAGCTCATGCAGTCTGCATCCTGACCGAGTGGGACGAGTTCAAGAATCTCGACTACAAGAGGGTATATGACAACATGCAGAAACCTGCATTCATCTTCGATGGCCGAAATGTCGTTGACGCAGATAAGCTGCGTGATATCGGGTTCATCGTCTTCTCGATCGGAAAGCCTCTCGATCCATGGCTGAAGGACATGCCCGCTGTGGCTTAGACTTGCAGGTCCGCTTCCTTCAATAGCCTTCCTCTTTGCACGGCAACAAAACCAGTTGGTGGATTCTTTTACTAAAATTTTAATGTATTTTTGTTGGTTTATTTTCTTTCATTTCCTCATCATATTTTCTGTCGGGACTCTTTTTGAAGGTTTGAGACCATATGTTTTGCCTTCACATTGTCCTAGAACCTATCTTTTATCTTCCCATAAAAATTTTTGTTAGAAATTTCATTACATTTTTGTTTGCTTTTATAAATCAAAATCATATGTTGCTCACAACATTTATATATTTGCCTTTTAAGATCTCATAACCCAACCCATCCTATGGAATGAACTTCTGTACACTGTCCATTCATTCCTTTTTATATTTTCAAAGGTTCCTTGAGAGGATGCTAGTGATTGATATATGCTAACCTTAGTATAGTTCAACTAATTTAGATTGAGTTCAAACTAAACATTAAATTTTAATATCTCTCACAAGGCAAGGCAAATATTAGTTTAGTATTTATAATTGTTGATTTGGATGATACTGATTTTGTAAAATATCAAACGAAAATAAATATTTAATTTTGTAATATTTGTGCAACTCTTATTGAAAGAGTGAAGGGGAGGTTTCGAACTTGTGACCTTAAAATAATCTAAATCCTAATCCTAGATTATTGGTAATAAAATAAGATTTTGTTAGATAGAATTTTTAAGAAACATTGTTCTTTATCCTAGGAAAAGTGGGTTATCTCATTATTTTTCGAAAAGTGGGTTAAAAGTTAAAACATAACTTTAGTTTATATTTATTATTTACAATATATTTGTTATCATACATTATTGTTCATCCCAAGAAAAAGTTAGTTCTCTCGTTATTTTTAGAAAGTGGGTTAACTTAAACATATCTTTAGTTTATATTATATATTTGAAACATTTTAGTTTTTAGTCATATGCTTCTTTTAGTAATTTAGTCGGTGTACTTTAGAAAATGGGTTAAATCATATTTTTATGATGGTTGGTATTTGTACTTTTTTTATTTCTTCGAGATAATTTAGTGTACATCACAGCTGAGTCATAATTAAATCACATTATCAACTTAAACATAGCTCTGGTTAAGTCTTGTATTATCGACCAAAAAGTGAGATGTTCAAATGAATTTCCTTTGCTTTTTTCACTTAATAACTGTAGTAAAAAATTTAACGACAATTTTAAATTAAAAGACTTCAATATTACATCAAATTTGGTGATGAGGATTTGAAAGGAGATGTATTAATTGCATATCTATGTTCATATTGGTCATTAATACATATTTTAAAAGCATGATATTATACACTAAAATACAATACCAACTTGAGTATATCTCAATTAGTTAAGAAATATATCTCCGATCAAAAAAACGTAGGCTTGAATCTCCACCTCATGTGTTGTTATACTTTAAAAAAAACAATAAAAATAAAAATATTTGAACAGAGTAACATTAGAATCAAGATTCCAAGTATTATTGGGTGGGTTAGATGTAACATTAGAACGAGGAATTACACTGTCAATTTAAGTCTAGTTTAACTAATTAAGATATATATATCGTCGATCAAAAAGTTTGTGGTTCGAATTCACACCGCTATATTTACTAAAAAAGAAAAAGAACGAGTGGTTCCACCCTGGGGCAAAATGCCAAAAATATCCTTTTTGGTTGGCTGCCATGACCAAGACTTTTTGTGTGGAAGCACCTCACCGACACCGACGCATTTCCTTTTGTAGACGCAGATCTTATAGAATGGCATTTTTGTAATTTTTGCAACATTCCTTCCTAATTACGACCATGTCCTTAAATTCACAATACAAAATCTCCCACCGACCTTATACGACAGATTTTCCATATTTATTAGGTTGAGTTACAAATTTGGTTCGTATTTTTAATTTAAACGTCATAGAAGTTTCAATTCTATCTATATATGATTTAGACAACTTTCAATTTGGTTCTATGATTTGGTCTTATTTTCAAAAATTTTCTCTATTATTTGGTTAAATATCACGATGGTTTCTAAATTGTATCTTGTCGATTCAAAAAATTCACTTATTTTCTTCCCTTTTTTACTCAATTTTAAACTTTAACTATAGCCCACTAATATAATTAGCTAAATAGAAAACGTGCCCAAATTACTGGGACCAAATTTATAATTTCTCATTATTGTTGCTATTATTATTATTTATTTTTTATAGTTATAATTTATAATTAAATATCTACTCAATCATCTAATTTGAAATCAAGTAACAAATGGGTGACTTGAGCCTAACTTAGCTTATTAAAGCATTAAAATCTTTCTTCTAAAAAGTTAAAAGATGTTCAAATTTCCATCCCACCCTATTATTTGAACTAAAAAAAATGTGAAAAAGAAAATTAATTTAGGCTTGCACCTTATCTTATTAGGAAGGATCAAGGATCATCATGGACATGGTATATTTTCTTTTAATGGATTTAATTACAAAAGAAAAATTATATAGGTTGCAGTTTAGTCTTATAAACTTATTATATATGCTTCCCTTCCTATCTTTATTCTTGAATAAATTAGTTAATTTTTCTTTTTCTTTTGAAGATTTATAATTAGATAAATACGAGTTTTTATAGTTGGATGATAGTGATTCTTTTAATTGTATTTGATACTTTTTAATTATTTGAATATAATCATCTCACAGGGACGACTGAAAAGATACAAAATTGATAATCTATTGGATAAAAATATACTTTTGGTCTTCATATTTAGTCTTTAAATCTTGCAAATGAAATTTGGAGTATGATTTATTTTTAAGTACAACAARTARGAGTGGAGGATTCGAACTCATGACCTATTGATTATAAATATGTGTCAATTACTGCTGAGCTAAACTTTGGTTGACAAAAGTGGTTCTTAGAGTCATTTGACCATTAGYTCACTGACGAGAGTAGTAATGTAACAATTACTTGTTGATCGAGTTTGTACTTATTTTATATATAGTACGAGTTATTTGGATGTCACGTCACATTATCTCAAAGTTTGAGCTTTTTCAATCACTTTGACGTTTTTTAAGATTGTGTTTTTTTTCTTCGAGTACAACAATTTAGGGATATAGGGGATTGAACTTTCAACCTAGACGTAAGGAGTATATGCCAATTAATCTATGCTCATGTTAGMTTTTATGACCGTGTTTGGCTATTAGTTGTAGTTACATGTGATTTCAAATGTTTTGTTCTTTAAATCTAGGATGATTTGTTGATTAGTTCCTAAATTTTTTTTATTTTATTGAAGAAATATATTAATTGTAACGCTTATTATAATTGAAAGTTTAAATTAATGAAATTTAAAATAAACATGTCGAGGGTAGATTCAAATTCACGATTTCATGATCCTACTTTAATTAGTGAGCTAGATTTTGATTGAGTTGTCAAATTTATTTTATAATCTATAGAAGTGTCGACCCACCCCTCATGGGCATTTTCGCATGTGTAGAAGTATAAAAAGAAATTTTCAACTTATCCATGAAAATTTAATACTCTGCCACGTGGCTAGGGGAAGTTATATAACTCAAATCCCATCGCATCATAATCGTCACCYCCACTTGAGAAATCGATCCGTCTCCTTCTTTTCACTCGTATGAAGCTTCAAACCACAAACATTCTTCTGAATTTCTTCCATTTCCCCTCAAAATCCGCTGTTTTTCGTTCGATTTCTGACCTGGGTTTCTCCTCTTTTTTGCATTTTCTTTCGAATAGGGTCGCTCCAGATTCGGGCAATGGAGCAAGATCAAGAACAGAAGCAGCACATCTGCAAGCTCTGCAACAAGAGCTTCTCCAATGGCAAAGTCTTGGGCGGCCATATGCGCTGCCATCGCACCCAAAATCAAAACCCCTCCAAAAAACGCAAAAAGAATCCCATCGATTCCTACAGCCTCAGAGAAAACCCCAAAAAGTCTTGGAAATTCTCAGCTCCAAGCCCCGAAAATGGCGAATCCGCCGCCCCTCCGCCGCAAGAAGAAAAAAACGTCTGCAAAATCTGCGGCAAAGGGTTCGATTCCTCCAAGGCCCTATTCGGCCACATGCGCCACCATTCCGGCCGACGGAAGGACCCGATCCGCCGCTGTAAATTCCTCACTTCTCCCCAATCCGCGGCGCCCGGCGACGGCGGCGGCGAAACTTTGGGGCTTCTGCGGCGGAAGCGATCCAGAAGGTCGCGGTGTAAGTATGATTCCAACCCTTCAGAAGTTGAAGAGTTAGCTCTGTGTCTGCTGATGCTTTCTAGAGGGGAGGGAAATTGGGGGGAACATGAATTTAACGAATCAATGTACAAATCCCATTTGGATGATTCTTTGAGCAAGAAGATGAATAGAGGAGAAAACGATTTAGATTTGGATTTAGGTTCAGATTCAGAAATTGGGAGATGTTGTGAAATGGTGGAGATGCCAAAGCTTGAGGATGAAGAACAACAACAACAACAACAACAACAAGAAGGATTTGAAATTGGGTTTTGTGAGGAATCTGAAGAAGTGGGAGAAAATGGGGTGAAATGTTTGAAGAAAAGTGAGATTGATCATCAGTGTGGAGTGTGTTTGAAGGTGTTTGGATCAGGGCAGGCATTGGGGGGCCACAAGAGAGCTCATATTTTGAAGCCTCATTTGATAATGGAGCTTCAAGAACAAGAACAAGATGAAGAAGAAGATGATGATGATGAATTCAAGCCATGGTGGAATGTAGATGGTGATAATGGGCAGCAGCAGCTTGAGGTGGGCTTGGATTGTTCCAACTGACTGAAAATTCTTGGGTCGGTTCGGTTTTCGAGCGGAAAGAAACGACCTAATCGGTTTGGTTTTTGTCGATGGCTGCTGCCTACTTTTGTTGATGTTGTTCATAGTTCCTTTCTTTTGAGCCATTTTTGTGGATGGCTTACCAAAGTTTTGTTTTCTTCTTTTTCTATTTGGGGAAGAAAATAGCAATGTGTACATAAGCTGATTGGATTGGATTGGATTTTTTTGTAATGTGAGATCCCACTTTTGAAATGTATCATTTTTCTTGGAATTATTTTTATTTATTTATTTAATTTATWTTTTAGCAAGTTTTGTTTTTGTCCTGTGAATGTGATCTAAGTGGGCCCAAAAAAGAGTGTGAGGAATTTGATTTGGTTGATAAAGAGGGATGTGTGAAATTGTGAGTGGGATTTGGGTTCTTTTTGGTGCATGTGCAATGTGCAATGTGCAATGTGCAATGTGCAATGTGCATTACATACAAATTTAATGGATTTTTTTTCCTCTTTAAGATTAAACCCATTGGAGAAGAAAAATATTTATGATAATTTTCTTTTTATTCTCCATTGCCAATTAACACTTCCAAGTTGCTCTACCTACTCCTCTTTAATAATCTTTCATGTTCTTAGTTGGTTAAATATTATCGTTTAAAATATTATTTTAATCCATGTCCTTTCAACTTTTGTTTATTAATTTCTTAGTTTTAAAATGTTTGTTTCAGTCCTTATATTTTTAAAAAAATGACAATTTTGATCTTTTAATTTTATAACCTTATTTTTTTAAGCCATAACTTTAGGTAGATTTTGTGTTAAATTTGAAAATATGAACTAAAACGATCATTTTTAAAAAATACAGAGACTAAAACAAATATTTTCAAAGTACGGACTAGAATGAACTAAAGTTAATTAAATATACAAGGACCAAGATAAGTATTTTGAAAATATAGATACCAAAACGAACCAAAGTTGAAAGTACAAGGAGTAACCTAGTATTTTAACAAGCTACTAACAATTTTTTTTTTAATAATTCTCTATTACTTAAAAGGTTTCCGTTTAGTTTACGATGTTTTAACATTTTTCAATTTAGTTTCTCACTACTGATACATATTAAAATTGGCCGATGATAAATTTTTATGACATATTACTTAGTGACTTCACTGAATTTAGAAAAGAAAAATGTCATATAATAGAAGAAAATTTCATTCTCCAAATTTATAAGAAATTTGTAGAAATTTCGGTTTTTTTTTCTCTCTAAATTTCCATATTTCGATGACGAATTTAGTTATTTTTCTTTATTTTCCATTTTTCTCACTTCAAAAAAAGAATTTTCTTGTTTAAAAATTTACATTTTTTTAATTACTCACAAAAAATAAACCAAAACATTTCATGAAAAAAACCCCTAATTGAATTAATAATGGATGAGGTATATCTTGACATTATTGTACCAATTTAACCAATTAAGTAATACTCAAATTTACTTTAATTTTTGAATAAGTCACCTGCAACATTCAAGGTTTTAAATGTTGACCTCCATGGAAATGTCGATAGAAATATCGATAAAATATTGATGTCGGTGTATATTTCTCAAAAAATTATAAAAATTAAAAACTCAAAAAAAAGTTTAAAATTAGTAAATAATCGTTTCTCCATTTCTAAGTAAGTTAAAAATATTAATATTAATATTATATCAATATTAGTGAAATTTTGTTGATATTTTTTATATCTTGTCATTTTCTTTTGTAATATTATGGAAATGTCGATAACCCTCATGTCAATGTTGAACCTATAGATATATAGATACATGGACATGTGGACGGATATTTAGTACCTTGGCAACAATAAGTCTAATATATATTAGTAATTGATAAATTTAGGTTGTTTTTAATTTCATCACTTTAAACTTTTATTTTACCTATAGTTTCTATGTTTTCACCTTTTTATTTAAATGTTGATGTCAATCGTGATATTTTGATAATATTCTTTTTATATTTTGTCGATTTTTACAGTATTGTATATATTTCGATTTATTCTTCATATCAATATCCAATTTATACGCATAAAAATGTGAAAATGTCAATGGAAATTTAATACATTCCTAATCACATTTTAAAACAAAAATATATTCTAAAAAATTGAATTCTTAACTACTAGAAAAGATAAACTCGCTTGTTTCATAAACACTGCCATCAAAAATTTAAATATTTTATATTTTTTCACAAAATATATTTTTTGATCTTTGAATTTTGAGTAAATATCTATTTAATCATTGAAATTTCAAAAGAGACACTTTTAGCGTCCACAAAGTTTAGAAAATAGTTCAAAATGGTAATCTTGACACTAACTAAAAATATGACGTGGCAAGTGGAGCGTGCAATTTTTAATAATTTTATATTCAATTTTTAATTACATGGCTTTTTTCACTTTTTCCTCTCTCCTCCATCCCTTCTTGCTCGTTGTTCTCTCTTCCTCTGGCCACCATTGCTCCCCCATGAGCTGAACAAGACAAGTCCACATAAGAAATATTGTAATGGCCCTCGTCATCTACAGCTTCACTCTCGACCTTGAAATTAGAATCGAGTTCTTCAAAGTCCTTTCCCATTTTTTATTTTTTGTTTCGGATCTCTTTTTATTTTATTTTTTTTTACAATATATAGGGGTGGAGTTTCAAACTCACTTCTTGATCGGGAATACATGCCTTAACTCAGTTGATTTTTTTTAGTTAAAATAAAATTTAGTATATATAATATAAAAAGATATAACTTATAGTAAAATGAATATGATTCCTTAAAGAAAATATAATTTACCATATAGATTTCTTTGATGTCTGATTTATTAGTTTTAAATAAAGAATAAAATTTTCAAAATATCTTTTATTTAAAATAAATATTTTATTAAGAAAAAGAAGAGAGAAGAGAGAGGAAGAAAAGAGAGGAGGGAGGAGAAGAATGGAAGAAAAAGCCAACTTCATTCATAAAAAACGATATAATATTAATATAGTTTGCCAAGTTAACAAACCCAAACATTAACTAAGCAGCTTCATTCACCATTTAGAGTCAGTTCTCCAAATTTTTAATGACTAAAAATGTACTTTTTAAAATTTTAGGGAGTGATTATAACTGTCGATTTTGCAATCTGCTAAATGGAATTCAGTCGAATTATCGATACAATTTATTTTGGTTTGTTCACCCTAGTGTTTAATAGATTTTTAAATTTTCACTTTTGTGTTAGATATTTTTTTTAATCGAAAGACTTATTAGACACATAATTAAAAGCCTAAGAACCTACCAGATACTTTGCAATTCAATGACCTATTATCCAACATCGATAATTGATACTTGTCTCTCACCAAGAGATCATGAGCTTGAATCATTCACCCTCACTTGATGTACTAAAAAACACACATTGAAAGTTCAAATGACCTATTACACAACTTTGAAAGTTTAATAACGAATGCACGGACATACCACTTGAAATAAACAAATTTCGTTGGTGAGCAAATTAAATTGTGTCAAATAGCATGCCAGTGGACCCCACTGTCCAAATATGCCCATAGATGGTTAACAAATTTTGACCAACCTAATTACAAATTGAATATTAATGACGAAATTAAAATTACCMAAACATTTAGCCATATAAAAATAGAATCTAATCTAAGATTTAAAAATAAAAAGAAGACCACCACCCCCATCATCATGATGAACAAAGAAGAAAATTTTCGAAATGGCCATTATCTCAAATGGTTACGAGTAAATTGCGTTGCAATACATTATGATTTTGATTTTGATTTTGAACTACACATTATTATTTCTTAACACATAATATATTCTCTACAATATGGAGAGCGAGCAGCCGTTCTTCAAAAACCTGTTTATGGTAACTCAACAGGCTTAATGTTCCATATATCTTTCGCATATTCATGAATGGTTCGGTCACTGCTGAACTTGTATGAGCCTGCTGTGTTCAAGATTGACATTCTCGTCCATTTCTGTCCAAAAAAAAAGACCAAGTTTTTTTTGGTTATGGAATGGATAACAGAAATAAAACTAATCACTTGCTCTTTGTTTTGTAGGACTTTCTTTCAAGCACATAAGACAGCCCACAAGTACCAACTCAATAAAAGATGGTATTTAAACTGAATAGAAGGGCATGGCTGCAAATTCCGCCACTTACAAAGGTAACACACAAACAATAAAAAGTACCGGTGGCAATTAAGGTTCCATTTGATAACCATTTTGTTTTTGAAAATTTAGCTTATAAACGCTACTTTCGAATGGATGTTTCTTCGTTGGATTATTATTTCTTTAAAATGGTTTTGTAAATTTAAAAAGCATAATTTTTAGATATAAAAAAACAAAATTAAAAACAAAATCGTTATCCAACACGCCTAAGTTTTCCCGTTAAAAAAATAATAGAAAAAGTAAGGGCATCTATCGAAATGATTGTAGATCTTACCTTTTGATCCCGATAGGCCTCATCCACCTGCTCTTGACATTCAATATAACTGGGGAAGTCCTTTCCCACGAGGAAATAATCTGCACGACCAAAACCTTCATTCCCTTCCAATGATCCTATCATTTCTTCATAATCATAAGACCCAAAAACACCACTTCGAACATATTCTTTCACTTCTTCAAACCGAGGATCCGGGATAAACTACATTGACACACCAATCTTAGAATGCAAGATATAAATTTGAAACTTTTCTTCTCATATTAATTTGTTTGGACAAGAAACGGAGTTGGAAAGTAAATCCACTTGGTTTTGCATTGTTGCCGCAGTTAATTCATTAAGTTTAAGAATTGGCATACCTTTCCTTCAGCTCTTTCTTTCCTGAGCCCAGCAATCTCGTGGGCTTTAGCGCCGAAAAGGAAGAAGTTTTCAGCTCCAACTTCTTGCCTTATTTCAACATTGGCTCCATCCAAGGTCCCAATCAGGATGCAGCCATTCATTGCAAACTTCATATTACTCGTTCCACTGGCTTCCATTCCAGCAGTACTGAAATAAAAGGAACAGAAAAATGAAGAACTGCGTACGAATTTCTCAAATACAAGATGATTTAAGCACTCGTTTTCCTCATTGTCATGAAAGAAATAAACAATTGCAAAAGCGAAAAAGT